GTGCGATCTCATGAAAGTACCTATTCTATTCAAGAACCGTGGGAAAGTAACGCACCTGCCCTTTCGTCAAACAGCGTTGAGGGTAAGAACACGTTTGCGAGGTAGCATCATTGTTATTTGCCCTTTTAGGTGATCCGTTTTGTTCGTCGAAGATTGGACCAATCGATTTTTTCTTAAAACCCAAGCGAAATTGTAATAAAGCTATTAATAATTTCCCGTCTCGCTCAGATGAAGCTGGTGGGTGTCGTCCGTCAATCCCCGTTAATGAGTCATCTTTCGGCTTTGTGCAGTTCCACTATAAATCGGGAGCAACTTCTTCTCCTGAATTAACAACTTGTAAAAACGAAAACAGCAGTTGTCGAGTGATCAAAAATTTAAGTAATTCGAAATGCATATATTGTAAAGGATTTTTGTAATGTTCTTTCCTTAGGTCACTCATCATCTGACACACCGTCCCCGTCGTCAGAGCGAACCTTGGAGCGAAACGCTGACAGCATTTCTGTGGAATCATCAGTTTCCGATATCGACGTGCTTCCTAAACCGCTGACATCTTCATTACTCCCTGATGGCAAGGACGATTCTCTAATGTGTCTAACATTGGATACTCCAGGTTTAGAAGAGACGCTTGACTACGATGGCGACGATTCTTCCAACAGTGCTTTGCTTTAGGTTTTTCGTATTCTGAAATTTCGTGTCGCTCATGTCAAACGGATAATGACGGTCATGCTTTACTTGAGAGCGCAACAGCAAATGAAGGTTTACATACTTTAGCCGGAGGTTTGTTGAAAGGTTCCAACTGCACTTTACGCTATTTAGAACTGAGATCTTCTGAGAAAACACATGGCTTGTCTGATGAAGCAACTGATACGCTGGCTTCAGATAATGCTGGTTCTGAAATTGTTATTGTTGACGTAAGTCGTTTTTTTTGATTGATTGCTCTGCAGTGTTGCTTTGAGGTACCTGTTATACTCGAACGTGATTTCAGTAATTAAAAACTGCCTTCTTTTGTTCAGAAGTATGATAAGTGAGTAGAAATTCTGGCAACATTCGTAGGCTTGTAAGATTTTATAGATTTTTAAATTCTACATTGCAAATGATTTTTTTATATCTGTTGAGTATTGTTCAACAAATTTTCTGTCCTTGTTCACTCATTCGCTCTCTTTAGAGACTAGACAATTCATGAAAAAAACTCAAAGAGATTATTACAGACGGTTAATCCCAGTTTCTCCGTATGGATTTCTAGCCAAATTTCTGTTATCATAATCATATCGACCTTTCAGACATCGAGTTTTCTTTCTCAACTTCAATTAGCAGAGCTTTGTTCGATCGTTTTGAGGTTCATTGCACGATTTTTCGACTGCCACA